AACAAAAAGCACAAACACTATTGCACAGTGCTCAGAAAACAGAATTGATTGCCTAACACAGTTGCAATGTATTCCCTAGACTCACTTCACTTTGTTTTTTACACTGTTTAATATATATTGTATGTATAAGTTTATTATACACATTTTACATATTATATACACTTATATGTATACGAGTTTACAAGGTATAGTCAAAGTTAAATTTATATTTATTTATACCTGCACGAGTTATATAAATATAGATGCAGTTGTGTAGACTTTATACATTATATATGTGCCTTCTTCAATATTTTTCACGTACACGTATGAATATATAACATATTAGATCTGTCTGAGGACATCACAAATGTGAAGAGAAGATGAATAGGGCATACTACGGAGTTCGATATATTTAAAATGAAGGTGTTATATGATTATTTGATATTTATCATAATTATTACATTATCTACAAAAATCAAAAAACAAAACTAGGATCATTACAGTAAATATTTTATTCCATTGCACATCGTTTAAGCTCGTATTTTCAGGCGCTCGCAATTATTATATTTTTATTAGCCTTTGATGGACAAGATACAAAGGTAACGTTTTCTTTGCACCTACTCCCTCACAACCAATACCTATAACTTTTTTTTTTTTTTTTACTTATACGATTCGAGTTAGCATCAAAAGTTTTATCGGAAGATCGCTCTGAACAATACGGTAATACAACATATACCATATCCAAACTTTCTTATCGCGTGGCCTCTCGAAGGATTAAAATATAATACACCGGTTTTTTTCTCTTATTACAGAAATGTATGTATCGATACATACACCAAAAATCAGGCTTCATTTCGGTGTATAAAATATATTTTAATTTCTGTCTTAACAGATAATGACAAAAAAAATTAATATAATTTAAATCCCCTCGTAGAGACGTGTCTCGCGCGTGTTTGTTTTGTGTCAACTGCATTCCCGTTGCCGGTTAATGTACACAAATATAATTTAATATGTATATGCATAGATGAAGGTAAATATAAAACAGTTGCCGACGCGTAAATAGTCGTAAAAATGCGGTGGAAAATATATGTGTTTACACGATAAACGAAACATATCTTTTGGTCGTATAATAGTGACGTGATTAGAAATTTTTCCTGTGGTGGAATTATCTGGTTAGGTTATCTTATTCCTCGTACCTTATTTAGAACTTATTCCTCGCAGCTAAAAATCATTTAAAATTCTTCTAAAAAGGTGATGTGAATTATTAAAATTGAACCTGTATGATGGACGGAAAATTACAGAATTTACACAAACATTTAAATGTATTTAGTAGATCCTGTTGTGGTATAAAATCTTGATGATTGATAGGCAATAGCTAACTGGTATTCAAAATAACCATTATGTAATTTAAAAAAATTATTCATTTATATTTGTTACCACATAGGACATCAATTAAGTGCTTCTCAGATTTCGATAGTGATATTATAGTAGTTTTAATTTAATCAAAATGGAAAAATTACTTGTTACGCTTAAAATGTCTCCGCAAGTCTTAAAAAAAGACAAGACTTGTGGGTTAAAAACACTTGGCGTGGATTATAAGTCTTTTCGTTGGTTTCATATTTTTTATAGAATATTAAATCTCGAGTTACACTCTTTTAAATGTGGTTAATATGTATATTATATTCCAGGTAAATTTGTTGATTTTTGGATCGGTATACATAACGTGTAAACGTTATATTATACTAACGTGTAAATTTTTTTTTTATACATTATAAACGGGTAAATACCCTTTGGTATTAATAGTACAGAAAGTCTAAAGTTTCATAATGACAATATAAGAGTTAACAATAATTAGGATAATAATAATAATAATAGAATATGAATACAATAAAATAAAATAGTAATAATAATGAATAAAATTAATAATTTATGACATGAATTAATTTAATTTAGTATTATACAAATTGGTTAATAGATAATAACACGTTTCAACTTTAATATTTACCTTAATCTTAATAATAATTAATCAATATAATAATTATGTTTATGATATTCATGAGAAAAATTAAACAAACAATTTTAAGACTCTTCATCGACGGTGCTTCGGTTAGATGCACTTTCGTATTTACACGACGAGTAGATGCTTGTTTTTGACGTGTGGTGCTGTTGTCGTGTCATCATCGCAACAGGAACAATTTAATTCAAGACTGGTGATGCAGATACGTTTGTCGTCAACGTCGTAGGTGAAATAAAATACGCAACTAGTCGATCGCGATTAGAACATGTCCACAGTTAAAAATAATTAGAATATCACATTCGATGTGTACGGTTTATTTTTCCAATTAAAGTTATCGTCACCAGTCACAAATTAGCTGCAATGAATGAACTCTGTTCAACCGTATAAATGACGAGTCGTGCGAATCGTAAACATTTCCCGTAGTGGTTACATGCTATGTACGGAGACACTACGCATAGAATATCAATAATTATAATTATTCCTTTATTAACAAACACGCTCACATATCGTTATCCTTTACGCAGGTTGAATATTTCTTTATTGTATTAAAACAGATACGTTCGTATTGATTTTTTCGTTTTTATCTTTACAAGATTCTATTGCTTCATCACGTACGGTTTACCTGTTATAATGTACCTGTAATGAGAGGGCAAACATCATAATAATAATACGTATCGAATGAACAATTGATGTTGAGTATACAAATTAGAACTACAACTGTAAGTCAGATTTGCTAGTACACATATAAATATATATATATATATATATATATATATATATATATATATATATATATAGCCGAGGAACATCCTGGTCTAAAATTTGTCAATCATTAGTTGGACTGAGTATGCTAATAAAATAATACACGGTAACAGTTTAACGATATAATAATAACATTGAGAATCGAAATGCTTTAGGAAATACACACTCATTGCAACTTTCAATACGTATACCACAAGCAAACCGTTAAACGTGTCATGTAAGACTAAAGTACTTACATATTTCAAATTTTTCATTTGCATAGGTATATTTTCGTAATAATCCGTCGCATTCGTTATTTCTTCACTCGTGGTACAAACATACTCCACACGACTATTTATAAATCATTCCCATTCCGATGCGTTTTCCACTTTACTATTGAATCGTATAACGATGATGAGACTTGAATATTTATCTAATATATGTGAATTTTCTACTTTTTTAATATGAACAACTGTAATTTGTATAAAGGCGGCATTTTTATGAGTTGACACAGGGTGGCTAAATGCTTAGTTAGGGCACTGTCTATGATTGTCAAAAAAGGTAATTATTTTTCGATAAAAGATAAAATAAGCCATACCAAATTAAATGAAATCCGATTCGTACTGTATTCATTTAAACCAAAATAAATGTGAAGCAAGTATCAATTTCAAATATTGTTCCTGTTATTTCGTGAAATATTATACAAAATATTAATTTCATTCAAAACGGTTTAACTTTTCAAGTTTCATGATTGCAGATGGAAAAATTGTCACGCCGTGCATAAAATTACTGTTGATATTATTATTATTTAATTACTCGTATACCACTCGTAGACCGATACACGGGTTCATCCGTCCTGTCTCTAGTATGATTCACCTAAGCGGAATTTAGCGTTTTCCTATTCAAATAACCCCGATACACATTTAAAGAAATGCAAAACATTTATGTTACCAAACCGTTTTTTCTTCTCTCCTCGTGGATAACGAACTTTCCAAGGTTTTCTGTTGTTCCTCCCATCATAATCTCACCTATGAGTACAGTTACTACCAAGGGTATCTTCCTAATTATTAAAACTCATTATCTTGTTGATAATTATAAAATCATTGATTATTGCAATGACAATGACTTTGATTTAACAGCCCATACGTGTCATCCATGATCGTCCAACCAGAATGTTCGTCCGCCATCTACATCGTACTATTTCCGCAGAGAATATTGTTACGGCCCTCCGGGATTTGAGCTTCTCCGCCATAATGTGTTAACATATGTCCACTAAAGTGTAAACAAAGAAGCTATTCCAATTTTCGCTATTGTCCTTGATCTAAATAAATTCAATCAGAGTATTCACCAAATAACCTCTCTCCTAAACTCCGAATAGTGGCCGAATAACCGCAACCCTCCCGTCACTCACCACAAACCATATCAGCTATAGATTTACATATACTCCTACTGTTATTCACCGTCAAAATGTGTCAAATGCAGCAACAAACATCTCACCGACGACTGCATCAAATCATCTGAACTACATGCAAAGTGCGCGTTATATTCTGTTGCATATTCTACGAATTATATAGGCTATCTTTCCTAAAAAAAAAAATTAGAAAGATCACTCTAAAATTGCGCCACTTCCATCATCAATAGTACCTTCAAATGTCTTGTCAGCTATAACTGAGCCCTCTTCCGTAAACAACCAATGCAAAGAAAAACTTAGTGCAAAGGCTCACGCAAAAGCAACTATAAGCAACTCAAATAATCTGAAAACCGAACCTATTTCAAATATTTATCTCAATTTGTTGTACAAATATACATTCTTATTACCCCATTAATTTCCCTTTTATCAATACCGAAAATAACAAATTTCTTCAATTTTTAATTCTTTAATTACCTATATCCATACTTCACTGAATCCAAAATAACAAATATCAATTTTTGTCATATCATTGTTTGATATTATCTTAATATTATTATGATACCATTTAGTATCTTCTTAAAGTAATATTTTAATAAAACAATAAATAATAAAATACAAATTATTAAATGGTTAATGCTCGTAAATTAATATATAAATAAATGCTTAACTCGGAATATTATTATGTTTGTAAATTACGATCGTTTTCAAATTGAAAATTCATCGACAGGTACATACAAAGTCAATAAAATCTTGACTCTTATGATTTATAATATTATATCATATAGTTGTTTTTTCGTGTTTTATTTTTATATAAAATAATTCTTTTAACCAAATCCTTTTTATTACCACCAGGATGTTGATCGCTATGGTAACGATCTTCGGCGTGTCCTGGTTACCGCTGACCGCTATCAACCTGCTAAACGATTTCTACCTTCAGACGGCCACATGGAAGCACTACTATCTGTTCTTCTTTTCGGCACATGCGGTGGCCATGAGCTCCACGTGCTACAACCCGTTTCTATACGCTTGGCTAAACGAGAATTTCCGGAAAGAGTTCAAACAGGTGCTACCGTGCTGGCGCAACGGTTCGGCGTACGGTGGCGTCGGTGCGGACTCGGGCCAGGGTCGACGGGGGCGTGTGGGCGGCTATCGGTCCGAGAGAACGTGCAACGGCAACGACACGTGCCAGGAAACCCTGTTGCCCACATCCGTAGTAATACCGTCCGGCCGGACCACCGCTACCACCGATTGCACCGGACTCGATCTCGTGGTGAGTAAAAGTTTTTCATGTACATGATTTGCACGCCTAATGTAACATTTAGTGTAAGATTAGAAACAGTTTACAGTTGTAAAACAAAAAATAAAGTGTGTGAACGCGTACTGCTAAGAAATTGATAACAATATAATAATAATTTTATAACAAGTGTGTTCGTAAGCTGTAAATGCTATGTCCGTTTTTGATTTCTATTCAACTTACGGTAATGCGATAGGAGTTTTCGTTTTTCCGTCAAATCCCGACAATACATAACGTTCTTATACGATTTAAGATGAAATTTTAATGTTTTTCAACAATCTGTGCATGGTTCAAGGATGTAAAATCGAAAACACATCGAGTCGTATTTTCCGGAATCGAGTTTTTGACTTAGAACATCTTCTAAATAGCATGTAATGTATTTTTTATTGATCGAACATAACGGTATACGAACAAGACATTTTTAAAAATGATCATATTTTATTTTTATTTTCCTGTAAAACGTAAACGATTATAATAATTGTTGCACACGTTTTAGTAAGTTACAATATAATAAAAAGCATACGATTACATATATAATGTAATGTAAACATTTTTTTTCTAATAAAAACGGTCCACTAAAAAAAAAAATAAATAATTAGATTAATAACAATATCCATTTGATTATGGTTGAACGAATATCTAAAGTTGGAATACCGAGTATCTGTAAATGCAAATACTCATTTCGTAAAAATCTTGTTTTTAATGCCACGCACTGGCATTACATTATACTATAAATGTTCACGAATTCACGTGTAGGAGATACATTACCAACGCAACGAATATCGGTAGCGTTATTTTTCTTCTGCCATCACAAACGATTCACTATACATATTATAAAATATTATTATGTTGTACAGTATGTATCAAACCAAAAAAAAACATTTAGACGCATACATTAGATTTATAAACGGTATTGTAGAGAATATTAATGAGTACTAGAAAAGCAAATAATAACAATAAAACAAACACTTTTCTTTTTAACCCAAATCAACGTAAATCCAACTCGATGTGGCACCGATATATACATGTTCTACGAGTCTATTAGTGAATATACATTTTTACATAATACCACCGAAAACGTCGCCCCTAGTTACTACAATCTAGTAGATATTCATATAAGTTTGCAAAAGTCAAGTGGACATTGGCATTTATAAAAACCTTCTCGTATACGCACTCATATACAAACACATACACATTTACAAGAGTTACAGCAGAACGTACTATACCGTTTTTGAACGTAAAAAATGTACGTTGTTACATTTTTGTTCTTGCTCTCTAAATCGCAACAAACTCGTTATTACTTTTGAAGACACGACAAATAAACCGAAAAAACTCCATCCGACGATTTCATAATTAGATTTTATTTTAATGTTGTATCGCGACGTTTACCGACTCACTATTTTTACGAAACCAGAATAAATGCATATATAAACAGAAGCTACATAATATGTAATCATACCAACCGGAGAATAAAAAGTTTATTATTTGCATTCAAAAATATTCATGTCTTGTGTTTTATTTTGTTATACCTACTCACTTTTGACTGTATGTTGCTGGTAGATTACGCGATATTTTATTTTTACGTTCTTACGGTTATATTCTCACGCATTTTGCATTTAGTTGATTTTATTTCGTATCCAGAAGCTCTAAAGCGTATTCTCCCTACAGCATAGAACTGATAATACAATTTACAACACAAAAGCCTTAAATCAAATTGCTGTTTAAATATTACATGTCTTCTCTTGTTACTATATAACATACTTATTCATACATTTACAGGACGATTTTATTTATTTAAAAAAATATATATGCATTGATAACTTTTTTCTTCTTGTGATGCGACTACAAGGAAACATTTATTTCTTACGATGCTTTTTCATATTTCTTGGCAGCCATATACTTTTATCATGTGTAAACCACAAACAGTTACTGGTACATTATTTTGTCGGTAATTTGCTTTTAATGTTTGATTTCAGAGTTCTATACTCACTAATGTATAAGAAAATAAAACTAACATTCACTAAAAACTCGTAATATACAATTTTTTTGTTAAACCAATGTGGTTATACAGAATTTAACCCTGGGCTCCACAAAAACTTCTAATAGTAATAAAATACAAATCCTTCAATCCGATACTTTACGTCGTATTCTCAATTCTCCTCCTATCACCATAAATTTCCAATGAAACACTGCATAATGATCTCCACATTTAAACAGTGAAACAAACCACCATAATCCGTTACAAACTTTTTTACAAAAGATTACATAATCACCCAAATATACTTATAAACATTCTCTCCTACACTACACTTCTAGATAACCCCCCTTGTCATTTAAAAAAAAACCATGATTTAAAGATGATCTTCTTATTTAATAAATTATCAAAACAAAGAAATAAACGCATATAAATATTAATTTATTAATATGAAGTCAAAAGGAGTACTATAAGTTGTTAATGTTAAAGCCATTATGTATTACATACAAACCATAATCTTATTGTATCTATAGTATAGATCAACGGTTCTCAAACTGTGGTATGCGTACCACTAGTGGTACGCGAAAGACTATAAGGTAATACGCGGAAGGCCGTGATAGAACGGAAATTAAAAATTTGATATTTAACTCTTATATTAATTTAAAAACACAAATACATTTTTATTAATAAATAAATAGTAATTTTATTGTAGTATTTTACTGCCTTTATGTTTAAAATAAATGTATTTTATTATGTAAAGTTTATATGGTTCTATTATTAGTGGTACATTACTGATAATATATTCAAGTGGTACGCGAAAAAAAAAGTTTGAGAACTGCTGGTATAAATTATTTATTTTCGTAACAAAAAAAATTATATTTAATTTAATCAACATTTAGTAATGACTTTACAAATAAATCGACGTTTTAATATCAACAAATTCACCCGCTGTATATGGAATCGTTCTTGAATGAATTGTTTTTGCCAAATTAAACCGTCAACTATATGTACACGTTGTCGGTAAAAGAATACTATTTCACAGAACAAGACTACGCGCGTAATATTAAGGCCATAAAATAATACTTACAAAGGGAGCAATAATTCATCATAATATTAATCTCGTAAAAAGTAACAATTTATCATCGTGATATAAACGCAGGTAAGAGCAACTTACTGACTATGGGCCGTGAATTATTGCTAAGCCTGCATAAAGAAGGTAAAAAAATAAAATAAATAATAAAGAGATGATACATAAATCCGGAGCTCTTAAATTATCCGACAAAGGAAAAAAACTAATCCTTACGAAAGAGAAAATAGAGAGAGAGAGAGAGAGAGAGAGAGAAGAGAGAGAGAGAGAGTGAGTGAGAGTGAGAGAGAGAGAAATCGAAAACAATAATAAACTCGATTCCGACTGGTAAATAAAAATTTAAAAATAAATATTTATATATAAAGTGCATGTGCGCCATTAGGGAGTGCACTTATATCCTCTGGTTTTAAAAAAAAAAATACATAATTTAAAAATAAAAGATATAGGCTAATATTATTATTATAGAATTTTCTAATAGTCCGCATTATTTTGAAGCCGACGAAAAAAACTAAAATAACTATGTAATGTTAAACAATTAGAAAAAATATTCCTTCGTATTTAACTTAAATAATTTAAGTATTATTTAGCAATTAGCATATATACTATGTATGATGTACCCCCTTGTCAACATTTTCAATGACGGCTTTGATACAGTGTTCAACTAAAATACGAGCTTGATTAATTTCTATGCATAAAAGGATGGGAAATTATAAACTAAAACTAGAGTTCTATTAAACATCGGCTCACTGGGCAATAGATAAATAAAAAGAATTTTTACAATAATTGTACGTAAGTTGAACATCGTTACATATAAATTTACTGTGACTTGTAATTTTTTACTAGTAGAAAAGGGAAAACTAAAAAGATTAGTTGCATTTTATAGACAATAAACAATTGTATAGTATCTTTTAATTACTACATTGTGTTCCAATTGTAATGTTCTCATCCACCTACCACTATTTAGCTAAATTTCACTGTGGTGTAAATATAAGAAAATTAAAAACGTTTAATTCTACACATTACATACAAGACTTCGTACTGAGTGTAATATACACAACAAATGACGTATATAGTCTGTGCAAACAAAATTAGACATCCAGAAGTATCGATCGATCATCATCGATATTACATCGTTATGTTGCGTGTGCTCTCAAACGTCGAATGTAACTAAACACATCTCTTTACGCTCCCATATTATGGTAACTCATTCACTAGGTTACAGGATATAATCGCGTTTCTATACGTATAATTAGTGATTTACGCAGGTATTCTACCCCCTTCTAGGAATGTGTTTCTCATAGAACGTCCAAAGTTTCAGAGTTGATAATTTTTTCGATTGATTTTTATTATCGATCTAAAGTTGTGTGGCAAAAACCTTAATTAATCGAACTAAAACTTAAAACTCTACGCGTTTATTTTGTGTATAGCTTATTGATATGTATACACAGACGTCGGACTCGTGTATTCCCTATGGATGGTACGATGTTATTTCAATTTCAAACGAATGTGTGCTGCTGCTACCTTTATTACAAGAAGCTTCGTTACATGGTTTCGTTGGGAATTGCGTTCACGTAGTAGTCCGGAGTCGTTTGCGCGCGTGCATAAGCGGCTTCAGCGAGCGTATAATGTGCAAAAACGCATACCTATCTGCGAGTTTACCGGGTCCGCGTGTAGACATACACTACACGGTACATATAAATGAGCATGATGATTGCTGTGGACACGTGCTTTCTCCAACCTTTTTTGACAGGAGGCCACGAGATTTATTCACCGTGCGTCCTTAAAAAATGTAAATATTTTTCCAAAAACGTATGAACTGAAATTATGTTGCGCGAACTTGCGGACAGCGAAAGATACAACGCAGGCGTATGCGAGAATTTTTTTGAAATACCTACGATCACGTATGTTTAAATA